AGATAAGTGAGGAGGTGATGGAGAGGGCAAGACAGTCTCTGCAAAGGGAGCAGCCAGAACAGAGGCGTGGAAATGCGAAGGTTTGCTGCACGCCAGGGAAGAAGCTAGAGTGAAGGGCCATGTCGTGAAGCAGGGAGACTGCTCTGTAGCAGCAGTTGGAGGCCTGGCGCTGCCACTATGGCCCGCACCATGGCTGACCCTGAGCAAAGTGATGAAGCCTTTGAGCCTCAGTGGGTGGGGCCACCACGGACAGGGGACTCTGATTGTGTTGACCTGGAGGGAGTGAGAGGGGACAGCCTGGCCAGCCAAGGGACCGCCAGAAGTGGCTACAACTTGGAAGTCACTGATTGTCAGGCAGAGACAAAGGCCCAGCTGTGGTTGGTGCTCGACAGAAGCTGGCCTGGCCCCGGATTAGCGATGTGGATTTGGAAAGGTCAGGGGGAGGAACACGGGAAAGCAGGGTGGAGCGGCCCTGAAGAGTTGAGAAACCGTGCTTTGGGGGTTTGGATTTCTCCATCGTTGCCAGTTGACCCAAGAACTGGGCCCATAGAGGCTGCTCAGCCTTACCCAGGGGCGTCACAATGAGCCTGCCTGCTGTGGAATCAGGTTCACTTTGTAGATCTTTTAAAATTTATTTTCAAGTTCACTTGAAATTCTGGTGTAGAGTTCTTTGAGTTTTGACAAATGCATAGAGTCGTGTTACTACCTCCACCATCAAGACATGGGAAGTTACACTCCCCAAGAAACAAAAACACTCTCTTTTCTTCCCCAGTGTACTCAGCGCTCCCTTTGCTCCCTGCCCCTGGCCACCGCAGATCCATCCCTACGGTTCTGCCTTTTCTAGAAGGGACTCTTGTAGTACGCAGCCTAGGAGTCAGGTCTTTCACTCTGCGAAATGTATTTGAGATTGATTCAAGTTGCGTGGATAGTAGCGTTTTTCTTATTGGCAAGCGGAACTCCGTTGTGTAGCCTTCCCTAGTCTAGCCACTGATGGCTTGAAGGGCATTTGGGCTGCTCCAGTTTGGGGTGTTACTGAATAAAGCTGCTATAAACACTCGTATGTGGGTTTTTGTATGAACATAGGTTTGCATTTCTCTTGTATGACTGCTAATATGGGATTGCTGGGTCTTTTGGAAAGTGTATGTTTAACTCTAAAACTGCCCATACGTTTTCTAAAGCGGCTTTAACATTTTTCCATTTCTACCGGCAATGCATGGAAATTCTGGTTTCTCGACATCCTCACTAGAACTTGATACTGTTTTGTTGTTGTTTCCCTGCTTTTGTCTTATTTTGGTTTAGCCATTCTGAATGGGTGGGGTTATCTTGATTCTCTTCCAGATGGGTAATTGTATCTCAATGTAGTTTTAATCTGCATTTCCGTAATAACTAATAATGTCGGGCATCTTTTCATACGTCTATTTGTCATCCATATATCTTTTTTGGTGCATTGTTTGTTCACATCTTTTGTCGTCTTTAAAATTAGGTTGTTTTCTCATTAAGTTTTGAGAGTTAAAATATGTTCAGGATGCAGGTTCTTTTTCAGATATGTAATTTACAAATATTTTCTTCTCTGTGGGCTAAGTTTTGCAGAGTGAAGGTTTTACATTTTGATGATAACCACTTTATTGATTTTTTAAAAATGGATTGTGCTTTTGGTGTGGTATCTCAGAAATCTTTGCCTCACCCAATGTCACAAAGATTTTCTCTTAGAAAATTTCTGTTTTTACATTTTAGAACAGAGGTCGGCACACTTTTTCTGTAAAGAGCCAGATGGTAAATAGTTTCAGCTTTTTGGGCCATATGGTCTCTGTCACAACTACTCAACTCTGTCACTGTAGTGCAAAAGCAGCCACAGACAATACATAAACAAATGAGAATAGCTGTGTGCCAATAAAACTTTATTTATAAAAACAGGTGGTGGGCCAGATTTGGTCCACAGGCCATCATTTGCCAACCACTGTTTAAGAAAGTCATCTTTTTGCCAGGCATAGAAGACACCCCTCTCTGAATAATGAGAATGGGGTAATTATTGCCCAGTTCAATCATCCTTGAAAGCATTGGGGGTGGGGAGGAGAAGGCAGAGAGTAGTTCCCTAACTCAGAACAAAGGTGAGGAGAGGGAGGGATGAAGAAAAACAAAGGAAGGGAAAAGAGAAATGTTTGAATCACATTTCGAGCAAACTTCATTATGCATTTTAATTTTTCAGAGTTAACCCTTGCACTTTGGTTCAGGCTTCAGCAAATGTGTGTGTTTGTTTTTGAGCTAATCTATCTTAAAGCCTCATGGCTGCAGATGCTTTAACAGATTTGTGGAGTTGTTCGTGATTAAGCCCATTAATGCTGGTGGTCCCATGCTTTCTACTGAAAGTTGGTGTTTGTTTAATTCATATTTAGATTATATCCAGCATTTTACTTGTACCCGCTGTGGGGTTGTGTGGTCCTCACACATCCTTCCCTGCACGCATGTGATTATTTCTGAAGAACAGATTCCTACAGTTCTGAATCAGAGGGTAGCAATCCTATTAAACTGCAGGTTATCCTCCAAAAGGGTTGTACCATTTCAATGGTGTACCAGGGTGTTTGTCCGCCTTATCCTTCTTTATGACGCTAGATTTTACCCATCCTGGGCGGTCTTGTAGCTGACTGACAGAAGGTGGCATCTCTTTTGACTTCACATTTTCCTCATTATTTGGGAATTTGAGCTCTTCCTGGTTTATTAGCATTTGAATTGCTGGCATCTATTAGTTGAGGCTCATATCCTTTGTCCATTTCTCTGTTAAGGGATGTGTCTTCTTTCTGATGAGTTTGTAGACTCTCTGAATCACGTGGGCCAAGCGTTGGGAGTGTTGACCTTTGGGGCTGGACAATTCTTCGTTGTGGGGCCATCCTGGGCCTTGTGGGATGTTTCACAGCTCCACTGGCCTCTACCTACTGGGTTCCAGTGCACACCACCATCCACAGTTGTGGTAACCAGAAGTGTCTCCAGACACGGCCCAGTGTCCCCTGGAGGGCTGAGTCACCCACGCTGAGAACCACTGCCCTAAATAATGTAATAGGTAGCGAGCATTTTCTCCCAAGTCCACTGTTTGTCTGTGTACAGTGCCTTTTGCCATACAGAACTTCTTAATCTTAGGAATTTTGACTTTCCAGTCTTTTCTTTTATGGCTTTGGATGCTAACCTGTTTTGTAAAGAACAGAGAGCATAGAACATTTTCAAATAAATAAAAGAAATGCTGGGAGAGTACAATAACTTTGCATGTTGTGTATGGTCTGAAGCAAATCAGGAGGTGGAAAGGTAGAGAAGTCCCACCTGTTTCCAGCAAGGGAAAAAAAAAACAACCCCAACACCTAAGTCCTCTCTCAGTGCTGACTCAGGGGGGAGGTGGGAGCGGTGTTCAGGTTTTTATGTAACCACTGGCAAGGCTATTTTTAAAGAACGCTGAGTGCTCCTGACAGTGGGCACTGGGTTTTCAAGCATAAAGGCAGGGCTGGGCAGAAGGGATGTGGAGAAAGCGGTGGGCTACCCCCAAGACCTCCCGGCTGGTGGGCCACAGGGCCTCTTTCTGGTAATGACACTTCAGCCCCATGGGGGTGAGTGCCTGCGTATTTAGAGGCAGGGACGTGGGACATCTTAGATGAGGCGGCCGCGCGCGACAGTACTTGTGAGCAAGCCCAGCACAAGTTGTGCTTTCAGGAGAGCCGTCCTGATGCTCTCGGCTGCATTGATCCGGATTCTTCTCTGAAGCCGTCACTGTGCCATGATGTTTGTCACTGAGAGCGAAAACTTCTGCAGGCAGCTAAGGGCATTCCAAAGCTTGTAAGCTTTGAAGAGCACGTTCCTCCAGCTGGTAGAGAAACCTTAACCTCTTTACCAGCTCAGTCGCTATGGCCTTTGGAATAAAGGGATGCAGGGAACTGTTGTCTCCCTGCTTGAGAACAGAGGCAGGGCGCCTGAGTTGGGGTGCTCCGGTGCACATCGCAGGCTCCTCAGTACCCAGCTGCACTAGGAGTGCACGCGGAGATGGGAGAAGGTGATCAGGAATCTTCAGAAAGCTCTTGAGACAACCCGCACACTTTTCATGGGAGCTTGAATTGTGGTGCTGGAATTGTTTGTAGGTGTTGTGTTTTGTTTTTTCAAGTAAGCTCTGCAGCCAGCAGGGGGCCTGCCTGAACTCAGGACCCTGAGATCAAGAGTTGGACGCTCCACTGACTGAGCCAACCAGGCTCCCATTTGTAGGGTTTTTGAAGCCCCCTAGTAAGTAGAAATGGGTGTGGTTTTAGAGCAGTTTTAGGTTTGCAGAAAGGTTGCAAAGAAAGTACAGAGCGGGTTTCCAGATATGCGCCTCCTCCAACACGAAGTCTTCCCTCTTAGTGACATCTTGTGTCGGTGTGGTATTTTGCTAGAATCCATGAGGCAATATTGATAAGTATTAGTTCAAGCGCATAGTTTGCCTTCACGTTCAGTCTTTGTGTTGTACATTCCGTGGGTTTGCCCAGATGTGTAATAACCTGCATCCACCATGCCAGGATGATGCAGATAGTTTCACCGCCCTAAAAATCCTCTGTGCTCCTCATGTCCCTCCCTTCCTAGCCCCGACAACTACTGTTCTTCTTACTGGCTCTAGAGTTTTGTCTTTTCCACGATGTCCTATAATTGAGTAGCCTTTCAGACTTAGTAGTGTGCATTTGAGGCCTCCCCACGTCTCTGGCTTCATAGCTCGTTTCTTCCTGTCATGGAATAACACTCTGTTGTGTGAAGGCCACAGACAATTGGAGTTCGTTTCTTCATTTGCCGACTGAAGGGCATGCTGGTTGCTTCCAGTCTCAGGACAGTTATGAATAAAGCCGCCGTAAACATCCACGAGCAGGTTTTTATGTGCACAGAAGTTGAACTTGTAGTGTTGAAAAGAAAAAACCCCAAGTGCCAGTCACTCATTTTGCCTTAATATTCTGCAATATGGACATTTGGAATTTACTTGATTTTTCTCCCCCCCCCTGCAGATTTTTTAAAAAATACAATGTCTAATGGTTATGAAGACCACATGGCCGAAGACTGCAGGGATGATATCGGGAGAACGAATTTAATTGTCAACTACCTCCCTCAGAACATGACCCAGGATGAGTTGCGGAGTCTGTTCAGCAGTATCGGTGAAGTTGAATCTGCAAAACTCATTCGGGATAAAGTAGCAGGTAAAGAAAGCAAGAGGGTTTGTAAGGGGGACTTGGGGCCATCCCACTGAGCACTGGCTTCTTCGCCCGCAGTGATGGTTGTCAAGTTTCGTTGTTATCTCAGACTGTGTTTTGCCACTGCCCTGGTGGCAGATTGGACTTTGGTTCCCAAAAAAGGAAAAGCTCGTCGTAAGAGCATGTACAGAGTGAGACGGTGGAAGGGGAGGGAAGACGAGGGGACGGCAGAAATGGGGGCGGCGCTGAGAGCTGCAAGAGACCATAGAACAGGAATGACAGCCTGGCCTGGCTCGGTCCCACGAGTGGAGGGCACTCTGGCCCAGGCAGGCCCTTCCCTGTCTTCCCGGGTCCCCGTGCCAGGTCAGGCCCATGGCAGAACACGGAGTATCCCCGCGGGCAGCCCTTTATCAGCTCTGGGCTGTGCTGTTTGCTATCATGCCATCAGCTGGAACATCTGAAACACACTGAGTTTGCACTCTTGGGGGGCTAGAGCAGGGCCATGGATCAACAGGCAGGCTGTGGGGTTGGATGCTGGCTGAGCCCTGTTCCCCCATTGCCTCCACGTGCGACTCCACACATAAGCGGGGACGGTGGCTCCTGTATCCTACAACCTCGTAAGGATTTGCAGACACCTGGGAAGGCCGTCCTTACCGAGCAGCCTCCGACCCGAGAACATGGTTTCGAGGAGGAAAACATGGAAAGATCAGGTGCTGTGAAGCACTTCCTTCCTTTTCTCCCCAGGGAGGAACATTATTTTAGGGAGCTGCCCTCCTCCTCCCCCTCCTCCTCCCACCTCTTCCTCCCTTTCTTTCTTCATCCTTCTTCCTCTCTGCTGTGCTCTGGTGAGCTGAGGAATGGGCAGGAAACACCCCCCCGCCGGCTGCCACCCTGGGTTGTGAGACTATGATTCTCTACACTGAAAACTAATTTAAAAGTAAAAAAAAAAGGCTTTATTATGGAAATAAGGTATCTTGTATTCTGATCTACATAAAAGTAGAGTAATATATTGAACCCCATGTACCCACCGTCTTACTTCATCGACTCTCAGCTTTTGCCAGGAACCTGGAGACTCCTGTCTGTGGGATGGGTCCTGTCGAGGCTGGCTGGCTGCTGTACAGGGAATTAGTTCATCAGAGGGGGCACGGACTTCAAAAGTCTTTTAAGGACTCTTCCAGTTCTGAGTCTGTGATTTAACAAACCTCTAAATAGGGATTGGAGATAATACACAAATTGAACAGTGTTAGAATGTTTTAGAAGCCGTTATCTTTCTCCTGTTTCAGGAGACCATCTGCATAAGAGAATCCTTGTTCAGAGGCGTTTTAAAATTCTCCTATGCTGCTAACAAGTCTTGCCTTTCTCCTTTTATGTTCTCACGGAAGGGAATTTTTAGCCCCGTGGATATTCCTGAGCATTGCAGTCCGATTTTGCCAGCATTCTCATGGTACCTGACTTCTTTGTCTATTCACTTGTTGTGGTTTTCAAAGGAATGTGAGCTCTGATAATAGGAACACCTAGATTTGGCGAGATCATTCCAGAGAGAACTGGTTTCGGGAATGAGGGAAAAGCAGGAAAGTGTAATTTGGAAATTATTTCGGTTCAGAGATAAACTTTTCTTCCTTTTTGGGTGAGATAAGTATAGCGTACTGAGAGTTGTGGAGGATGTGCTCCCAGGCTCAAATCTCAGCTCCATGTCTTGCTAGCAGTTCCTTAAGTTGAAAGAACGTACCTTCACGAGAAGCTGACTGCATTCCCACTTCTCTCCTCCCGCCACTGATGTGCGAAAACCTCGCCGGCTGCACTGCCCCTCTGTCCTCTTTTAGGCTGCTCTGGTGAAACCCTAGGCACAGATACGTTCGCCCAGCTGCTTCCTCCTGGCTGGGCTGAAGATGCCCACCCTGAAGAGAGTCTTGCATCCAGGCAGACAGGTGCCCAGTTGAAGCCAGTTCCAGCCGAGCTCAGCCCACAACGCAGGCATCCCCGGCCCCCACAGCAACCGCGTCTGCACCCTTCACTCTCGGCCGGTGATTGCCTCCCACCTCGCAGTGAAAGTAACAGCCGTCTCCCCCTCTGCTCGATCCCTGCCCTTCTCCGCGTCCTGGGAACCTTAGGCTAGGCAAGTACCTGCTTGCCCAGGTCTCTTCGGGATCGCCTTGCCAGCATTCAAACACACTACAGTGCTGTTCTCTTTAAAAGAATCCTTGCTAAGTTTCCCTGACTTCCTCTAGTTCAGAGTGTCTCTCCTTGAGCCCCCTTGACATTTGGGACTGGATAATTCTTGGAGGGGGTGCAGCTTGTGTGTGGTGGAATGTGGAGCAGCATCCCTTCCACCTGCTAGATGCCAGTGGCATCTTCCAAGTCATAACAACTAAAAAAAAATGCCCCTAGATGTTGCCACGTGTCCCCAGTATCCTCCCCCGTGAGAGTCGCTGCTCTAGCTGTTGTCCTCCCTCCCCTCCCATTCACAGAGCCGTCAATTGACTATTTTCCTTCTGGAAGCTTCCCCTCCCCCTTGGCTTCCATGAACCACCTACCTGGCTTTCTCCCACCTCAGGCCTTGCTTTGCCTCTTACAGCTCCTTCCCGGCCGTTAACTTAGACGGTCCTTAGGGTTATTCCCAAGCTGCTGCTTCCTAAGCCTGCCCTGGGGAGAGCGGATGCTCCTCCACAGCTTCACTGTACCCTCAGTCTACTCCCTGTGTTTCAACGAGAAAGCTCTCCTGAGCTTCAGACCCCTCTGCCCCTCAGCCCCTCAACTTTTGTGTTTTCCAAACTGACCTTTTCCCATCATCTGCATCTTAACAGGTGACAGCAGTGTTCACTCAGTGACTCCTGTCAGAAATCTAAGCATGACCTTTGATGTGTGTCCCTGGCATTCATCCTTCTGGATGCTTCCGTCCCTTTTCCTCCAAACCCCCCTGCCCCCCCGCCCCATTCCCTGCCACAGATCTAGATGAGGCTGCATTGTCTTCTGTCTGCACTGGCATTCTGGCCTCTTAAACAGCCACCCATGTTTCCTCCAGAGACGGTTCTCTTCACTGCGGCAAAGGAATCTAAACATTCTGCATGTGACCCTGTCACTCATTGGCCAGGCACGGGTGACAGGAAGAATGAGGAAGGATGGTGGCTAGGATGCCGGGAATATTTGACGTGCTGGCCTCAAGATTCAGGGTGTTTCTGGCTGTCAGGCCGCAGCCCCTGGGTTGGGGCTATGCATTTGTTGCTGCCTGTTCTGGCCACAGTTCCTAGCTAGCCCTAGTGTACAGCCCTGCCCTGCTTTCTGGCCTGGTGTCCGGTCCTCTGCAGATGCCATATGGCCCAGCAGCCAGCCTCCAGCCCGTTCACTCGGCTTCTGGCTCATTGCCATGCACCTTTGGTCAGGATAAAGCCCACACCCCTGCCTACAGCTCCCAAGTCTCCTGGGGACCTGTCCTCCTCCTCCTGAGCCACTGCTCTCCCCTCCCCCTCCTCTCGGGTCAGACTGAGCTGCTTGTCACTTCCCAGACATGCCCTGGCTCTTAGAGTCTTGTGATTTTGCAAATATTGTTCCCTCTGCAGGAGAGCCCTTCCACACCAAGCCAGCCTGACCACTTTTTTCTTGAATCACCTTGGTTCCTTCTAGAAAAACAACAACATGAAGCAAGAAGGAAGGAGAGTTTAAATTACCCCAAAATCCTTTTGGCTTTGTGGTTCGTGTCCTTCCATACTCGTTTCTTTCCATATTTGTGGTCATAAGCAACTATGTGCTTTTAGAATAATGGGCTCACACCACCCAAGCTGTGCAAGAACTTTTGCTTCCTGTACCTGTGAATGTTTTCCTGTCACTGAGCATAGCTCCCTCACCAGAACAGTTAACAAAGGATCCTGTTGGATGGAGGTGCTGAGTTTACAACAGGCTGGAACCATATTCCATATTTACAAACCCCACTGAGAGAAATAATCGTGGTGCAAGTCTTCACTTATCAGTGATTTCCATTGGAGGTCTTCCTGGAGGTGAGCCAGTAGATGGGAGAGGGTTTACCTTCTTGAACCCGGTCACCAGTTTATACTCGTTCTTCCCCTCCCTACCATCCCCTAGGCCAGAGAGGTTTCTCATCTTGCCCAACCTAAGTAAAAAATGACCTTCTATTAGGGTAGTCATTCACTTTTTAATGATACTCATCTGGTTTCATATCTTTATTGGCTGTTCATACTTACCTTTTATAAAATACCCTTCTTGTCCTTTGCCCATTTTCTTTCTTTTGGGGGCATTTGCTGTGTCTTATTTATTGTCTCATTCATTCACACACACCCCCACCTAAGACCCAGCCTCTCTCCCCCGTGAAGTCATCCCTTGAGCCCCCACAGACATTTAAAGGAAGAATTTGACTCTCCCTACCCTCTGACGCTGCAGGGGAGGCCTCGTCCACGGGGTGCTCCCCTCCCCCAGCCACCCGCCCCGGGTCAATTTGAGAGACGTTGCATCTGGTTGCGCAGGTCGGTGAATGTAATAGGAGATGCCAGAGTATCATCTCTTGGTTTTGACCTTGTCTAGAGAGAGAGCAGTGTTTGGAACTGGAAGAGCAGTGGTTGTGAGGCACTGGGCAGGACACAGAGGGCACTTCGCATGAAGGCAGCCTTGATATTCTCCAGGCAGCGGTTCTCGGAGTGCTGGCCGCCGACTCGCAGCAGCACCCGGCTCCCCGGAGAAACACACGTCCTAGGCCCCCTGAGTCAGCCAGTCCAGGGTGTCCACACATCTGTGATTTAACCGTCCCGGAGGTTACTGTGCTGGTGCAGGAGCAAGTCAGAGACACAGAGCTCTCTGCCTGCAGGGTGAGGAGCGGGATCTGGGGGCCCCATGAGCTGGGGGGGGCAGCAAGAGCTGGGGGCAGTGCTGGCCTCTAGGGCGTCCCTCGGCCTCAGACCCAGAGTTTATTCACACTTCATCCCTGGCTGTTCTCCCCTCCCCCCAATCCCCGATCTCCCTCCCCCTCCCCTCTCCACTAGATCTCCCATCCCGGGCTT